TGTTGGGGTCCAACCCCAGCAGGTCCAGGGGTCCCCAAAGGTGTGGACGAAGTCAGCAAAGAAGGAATGACATGGAGACAGCGTTCAGTTGATCAGCAGCCTAGCCAGGATCTCTAGCCAGGTTCTCCAGCCAAGTTCTGTCAATATATTTCTTTAAAAATTATTCATGAGAATGTTTAAAAATTGGACCCCTAGTACAATGCTGTTGGAAATGTAAAATAGCAGGGCCACGTTGGAAAAACGTTTTTGGCAGTTCCTCACCATGCTAAGCATAGAGTTATCAGATGACCTAAAAGTTGCACTTCTAGGTACATACCCCCAAAAAACTTGTACACAATGTTCATAGGGGCGTTATTCATAAGAGCCTCAAACCAGAAACAACCCAAATACTCATCAACTGATGAATGGGTAAACAAAATGTGGTATACCCATACACTAGAATATAGCATACATAAAACTTTAAAATGTTATGCTAAGTGAAAGAAGCCAGTCACAAAAGACCAGCTATTATGACTGCATTTATGTGAAATGTCCCCTGCCCCCTTAGGCATATCCCTGGAAGCATGTAATACTTTAAGCAATAAAACAAAATTAAAAAAATAATAAAAAAATAAAATGTTAAAAAAAAAATAAATAAATAAAAAAGAATGCAGATTAGTGACTGCCTGGGGCTAGGTCGGGAGGACAGGGAGGGGGCACTAAAAAAGGGAGGCAACTGTTAATGGGTATGGGTTTCTTTGGAAGTGTTGCTAAAGTCCTACAATTGGCTCCTCTCTGAGGGGGCGTGGCTAGGCCCTGGGGGGCGTGGCTGGATTCTGGGGCGGGACCAGCCAGCTTAAAGCCTGGCTTAGGCACAGCAGCCGATGCTTTTCGGCTGTTATGCCTCGAGGAATGGAAGAGTGCGCTGGTCTCTGTGGCGTGGGCTCTTCGCGGGGATGTCGGTGTCGGTGTCGTCAGCAGTGCCAGGGCCCAGCTGAGACGGCAGCGGCCGACGGCAAGCGGGCCCTGGCAGAAAAGCACGTGGAGGCAGTCGAGGCAGGGCGGTGCTGTGCGGAGAGTGGAGGAATTGGGAACCCCATGCCGCCCCCACACTGCTCGCTGCAGGACCTGCCTGTGGAGATGCTGGTGGAGATCTTCGCCTGGCTCCCCGGCACCGACCTGCCCAGCCTGGCCCAGGCCTGCACCAAATTCCGCCACATCCTGTACACCGACAGCATCTGGAGACGGCGCTGCCGGCAGGAGTATGGCGTTCCTGAAAACTTGCAGAACCAGGAGATGATAGGTATGTCTTATCGAGAAGTCTATGCGAAGCTGCTCCACCCATACAGACACATTTTGGGATTGTGGCAGCTAGATACTGAGGACTATAGAACACTGCTGAATGTCGTGGTGGACGGCTTATGCATTACTGGTTGGACGTACGGGCCTTCCCTTAACACCCACGTGGATGGCCCACTGCAATTCAAGCCCGCGTTCAGAATTCGCCTGACGGAGAGGAAATCAGCCACGGTGGAATGCATGGAAGGCCTCCACAGCAGGCCCCACAACCGCCACATGCAGATTCAGAAGGACAGGCTCACCCTCCAGTGCAACAAGACAGACCACCGAAAGGATTTAACAGCGAGACTTAGGGAAGAACGGGCGCTGCTGCTGACGCTGACGCTGGGGTGGGAGGACAGATATCAGTATGACTGCCTGGCCTACCGCCGCCTCTACCTCCCGCGGAGCCACCCGGAGGACCTCATCAGGCCAGGCCTCTTCCAAGGCAACTACGATGCCTTCGGCCTAAAGATTGTCATGCTCAGCTTCCATGGGAAGTATGCCAGGGTCACGAAGATCACGGGAGACACCATCAGGATGTTAGAGATCCACCTCATGCGCCGCATCCAGCTGCCAGATGGCGAGTTCTTCCGCAACTTCAACGAGCTCTCCCGCGTGGTCCAGGAGATTGATGAGCAGGTGATCCGGGAGCAGCAGCAGCAGCAAGAAGAGGGGACTGAGGAAAGCGAGGGCCATGGCTGGCAGAGCCCTGCCCGGCCCAGCGTCAGAGAGTCCCGGGATGCAGCTTCAGAGGAGCAGACTGTTCCCTTTGTTCTGCCTGTGGACATGCTCTCAAGAGAGCAGAACTACCCCCGAACCTGCAGGATGTGTTTCTATGGCGTGGACACTGTTACCTTACCTGGCTTAGCCTACTGGGAGCGGTTCCCTGGAGTCTTCATCCTGTTCGATGAGAACCACTTCGGGTTCATCTGGCTGAAGGTGAAATACTTCATCCTGTTCGGCAGAGTCCAGAACACCTTCCAGAATGTGGAAGCATCATCCCCGCAGGCCTTCCTGGAGATGCTCTAGAGAACATTCATTCCGGACCCCCTGGGAGGAGCAGCTTGTAGATTTGACCTTCTGACCAGGTTACCCACCTTTGTTTGTTTTTTTTAATCCTCACCCGAGGATATTTTCCCATTGATATTTAGAAAGAGTGGAAGAGAGAGGGAAAGACAGAAATATTGATGTGAGAGAAACACATCAGTTGGTTGCCTCCTGCCCAAGCCGGGACCAGGGCCAGGCTGGGTAGGAGCCAGAAACTGAGGTAGAAATAAACCTTAGACCAGTGGTCTCAACCTTCCTAATGCTGCGACCCTTTACTACAGTTCCTCATGTTGTGGTGACCCCCAATTTCATTGTTACAAATTGAACATAATGAAAGCATAGTGATTAATCACACACACAAAAAAAGAGGAAAAGCACTACTGCAATTAATTCATTGATTGAGTTACAAGTGGGACTGCTTTTTTTTTTTACTGAAACACCATTTTTACTTAAGAGTGATTGACAAGCTATTGTTGACTTGCAGATGTTTTCTCTAAATGAACAAAGTGAGCCTCATATCAAAGAAAACCATTATATGTTACCAATGATAAAATTCATGCTTTAAATAAAAATTAGATTCTGTAAAGCTTGTGTTCACCACTGTGAACTTGATGGCTTCCCAATATTTAAAGACTTCGTTTATATTGATGGTGATGTTAAAGAATGCTACTTTTTGATATTGTTTAATGAAATGTGTCCACTGCATCACTTAGTTAATATATTTGAAATGATCAATGTTTAATGTTACAAAATTATGTATAAATAGATTGATTCAAAGTGTAAGGCAAATCTATAATACATGTTTATGTAATAAAATATGAAGTTTATTGATAAAAAAAGAAATAGATATATAGCTATAGATATATCACATCTTCTTTATTCAACTATCAATGAACATCTAGGTGGCTTCCATATCTTGGCTATTATAAATGATACTGCAATGAACATAGGGATGCATATATCTTTTCACATTACTGCTTTATTATTATTTTTTTTATAAATACCCAGAAATGGAATTGCAGAAGGGTCTATGGTAGTTTTGTTTTTAATTTTTTGAGGAACCTCCCTACTGTTTTCTATAGTGGCTGCACCAGTTTATAATTCCACCAACAATGCACAAGAGTTTCTTTTCTCCATATCCTTGCCAACACTTGTTATTTGTTGATTTTTTAATAATAACTACTAAAATTCTGTGCAGGTAGGGTCCCTAGGCCTAGCCTGCAATCAGGGCCATCTTCCGCCCACTCGCCAGTCCCCAGTCCTGCCCGGCCACTGCTCACTAGTTCCCCATGGTTCCCTGATCAGAGCCTGTGGTCTGAGGGGAGGGACCAAGAAGTCTGTCTGCCTTCTGCCCGCTCGCCAGTCCCCAGTCCTGCCCCGCCGCCACCCTGGTTTCCCCGTGGTTCCCCATTGGCCATCCAGTGATCGGAGCCTGCGGGCTTGGGGGAGGGACCGAGAGGTGATCAATGCACCTTATAGTGACTGGTCGATTGGTCATTCCAGTCCTTACACCGTTATGGTCGCTGGCCTTTTATTATATAGAATTCTAACAGGTGTAAGATGATAGCTCATTGTGGGTTTGATTTGCATCTCCCTGATGATTAGTGCCATTGAGCATCTTTTCATGTGTATGTCTTCTTTGGGGTAATGTTTATTTAGGGCTCTGTCCATTTTCTAAGCAGATAGTTTCCTTTTCTTGATGTTGAGTTGTCTGAGTTCTTTATATATATATATATATACTAGGGGCCCAGTGCACAAATTTGTGCACCTTGAAAGGAACTGTGGGCCACAAGACTGGTAGGCACAGGGACGGGTCTTGGCCCATCCTCTGTGCCCCTGCACAGCCCCTCCCACTGCGGCCCCTGGTCCCCTGTCTGCCAGCAGCCCCGCTCCTGCCACTGCCACTCATATCTGCTGATGGCGCAGAGTGATTGGGGCTGGTGCCAGCAGCGGGTACAAATGGCGGCTGCTGCCCCGATTGCCCCTCAAGAGCAGGGGGAGGTGGAGAAGCCCTCAGGGGTGATCAGGGTTGGCAGCCGTTGCTTACACCTGCTGATGGCGCTGAGTGATCGGGACCAGTGCTGAGCACCGGCAGTGGGTGCGAGCAGCGGCTCTGGCACTGGCTGCAGGTGTGAGTGGGGCCAGCACCGGCAACAGCTGCGAGCACCGGGCAGGACCGTTGTGCGTGGGAGCAAAAAATTTTCAATAATCACCAGAGGCTCTCCCTGATGACAGGCCAGCGCCCCGCCTTGGTCTGGTGCCCTGTTTACCTGCTCCACTATCGTGCCACGGCCAACACTCACCATGTTCTGCACATGCCCCCTGGTGGTCAGCGCACGTCATAGCAACCGGTTGTCGGTTGTTTCTGTTGTCCCAGTTGTTCCACCTTTTGGTCTATTTGCATATTAGCCTTTTATTATATAGGATCAGATATATCATTTGCACATGTTTTCTTCCATTCAGTAGGTTGTCTTTTCATTCTGTTGGTTTCCTTCACTGTGCAAAAGCTTTTTAGTTTAATGTTGCCCCATTCTTTTATTTTTGCTTTTGTTGCTCTTGCCTGAGAAGATATACACACAAAAATATTGCTAAGAATGATGTCAGAATTTGCTGCCTATGTTTTCTTCTAGGAGCTTTATGGTTTCAGGTCTTACATTTAAGTCTTTAATCCATTTTGAGTTTATACTTGTATATGATGTAAGAAAGTGGTCCTGTTTTCATTTTTGGCATGTGTTTGTCCAGTTTTCCCAACACCATTTGCTGAAGAGACTGTCTTCCCCATTGTATATTCTTGCCTCCTTTTTTGAAGATTAACTTACCATACAGGTGTGGGTTTATTTCTGGACTCTCTATTCTGTTCCATTAATCTATGTGGCTGTTTTTGTGCCTATACTGTACTGTTTTTGTTCTTTTTTTTTTTGTTTTGTTTTTTTGCCACCACATTCTTTGCATAACATTCCAAAGTTTTTTCTTTATTTTTCAGTTTTCTTATTAACAGATAATTGTTTTTCCTGAGTAAGATTATTAAAAAGTTAACCCTCTACCAGAAGTGTAAAGACAAATAATATGTAGACTCACAATACAAATTTATTGTTATTATTTTTAATCCTCACCGAGGATATTTTTCCATTGATTTTTAGAGAGAGTGGGAGGGGGAGAGACACAGAAAGAGAAATATAAATATGAGAGAGACACATCAATTGGTTGCCTCCTGAACACGCCCCGACCAGGGTCCAGGCCAGGGAGGAGCCTACAACCAAGGTATGGGCCCTTGACTGGACTCAAACCCAGGACCCTTCAGTCCACAGGCCAACGCTCTACCCACTGAGCAAACCGGCTAGGGCTCACAATACAAATTGTTTACATAGCATTACAAGTGCAGAGATATTGATGGCTGCTCTTCACAGTGATTGCCCCACCCCTTAAAAAGATTGCAGCCAAGGATTCCATTGTCTAAAATACTCTGTAGTACAGTAATTATTTGCTTCAGTCCTTAGACATATCCCTCATCTATTGTGTTGCTAGGGAAAACATGAGAAAAATCTATCATTCCCACTTCTATTTCTGCAATCTTTTGGCAACCAGTGGGAAGATGGTAGAAAGTCTTTTCCAGTTGGAAAAGTATATTTCTGTTTAAATGTTCCTGTGACAAACTTCTCCACCTATTGTCTTGCTAAATATTTTCAACTTTCAATGAAGTCTGACTGTGATGTTTTTTCAAATACATTTTTCTGTGATGACCATATATCTTGGATAAGGTTTTGTCTACTATTTTTCCATTCATTGTGGAACTTAACACTTGAAAGTTATTATTGTACTTCAGTATGTCTGTGTTTGAGAGTTGTCCTTTGGACAAAAACATTTCTGCCAAAGTTCTGTCATTTGATTTTGTAGTAGTTGGCTCAGATGAACCTTCATAAACAAACAGTAATGAACTCACATAAAAGTTAAGCTGCTCCTGGCTTTCAAACCACTGCAGAGTACTCTCAATCTTCTGAATACTGGCAGCAACAGCATATTTTTCTAAGCAGAATCCATTACCAAAAAAAATCTGGAAACTCCATCCTTTAGTTTCTTTTGTTAGGCTTCTTCCATAGTGCTGGTTTTGTGTCTTCTAGCTATGAGAATGAACATGATAAACTCTCATGCCACACACTAAGAACCCAATCTCTGAGTACTTGCCTACCTGTTGCTGAATCTTCTCAGATAACGTGAAAGAATCATAGCTCTTTTGCCCTATCTTTACATCCATTAGACAGGACTTATTAAATCTATGGGTCACATCTTCAAGGTTTAGGTATAAATCATTTGGCACAGTGGGAGGTCACCAGATGCCATAATATTTTGGCAGAAATTTTTAAAGCTCTAAATCATATTATAGAATTCTAGCTCCCTTATTGGATCCCTTAGAGGTAGCTGTAGCTATTTCAAAACTATGCCATCTGGATGTTGCAAGATACCCACTTTGTCCTTCCTATACCTGTGCCCAGCCACCTGATGTGAGAGGGGCACTCAGCCGTAGAGGAAGTGGAGCCTGCTGCTGCTGGTTTCAGGGTGCTCTCAGAGATGGCCTTGTTTGCCAGGTAGGGTCTGCAACCCGGGTGAGGCCCACATTTCTGGGGAGCTGGGTACCTCAGGCAAAGTGGATGGGATGAAGCCCAGCTGGTGTGGCTCAGTGGTTGAGCATTGACCTATGAACCAGGAGGTCACAGTTCGATTCCCAGTCAGGGCACATGCCTGGGTTGCAGGCTTTATCCCCAGTGTGGGGAGTGCAGGGGGCAGCCAATCAATGATTCTCTCTCATCATTGATGTTTCTCTTTCTCTCACTCTCTTTCTCTCTCTCTCTCTCCCACCCCCCCACCTTCCTCTCTGAAATCAATAAAAAAATATATTTTTTAAAAAAGTGGGGATGGAGTCTCCATTGCCAGAGAGCTGAAGTGGCAGCTATAGCTTTGAGGGCAAGAAAAAAAAAAAAAAAGAGACGGAGTGAAAGGGCACAGCAGAATAGGGGTTGGGGGTGGGGGGGACTCAGCACTAGGAGGCCCGGGGTTCTCCAACTAGGTGCTGAGGCCCATGATGCTACTGCTCTGCTGCCCAGACCACCAGGCCCAGCACAACCCTAGAGAGATAGAACCGAGCTCCCAGCTGAGGAGCGCTGAGGTGGGCACCCATTGCTCCCCTTCCATATTGTTTGATTACTATAGCTTTTTAGTATAGTTTTAAATCCATGAGTGTGATACTCAACTTTGTTTTTTTTTCTCAAGCTTGCTTTGGCTATTTGGGATCTTTGTGGTGCCACTATTTAAATAGGTGTTTCTCTTGTTTCATCTTTATTTAGATACTAGAGGCCTGGTGCATGAAATTTGTGCACAGGTAGGGTCCCTAGGCCTGGCCGGTGATCAGGGCCGATCGGGGCCTTATGGCTGTTAACTGGGGCCTTCCTTCCCTGGCTGCCGGCTGCCAGCCAAGGCCTTCCTTCGTTCCGTGCTGCCCTCTGGTGGTCAGTGCACATCATAGCGAGCAATCGAACTCCTGGTCTCCCGACCGAACTCCCGAGGGGACAATTTGCATATTAGGCTTTTATATACATATAGATTTGTATATGATGGCTTTTGATTTCTTTTTTTAAAATTTATTTTTTAATGTTACATGCAATAAAACTTAATATTTCAAGGAAAATTAAATATAATGTTACATGCAATAAACATTAATATCTCAAAAAAAAATTTTAAGTATGATAATGTTACATACAATAAACACCAATTATTCAAGAAAACTGATCTTACATATAATAATATTACATGCAATAAACATACTAGTTTAAGAATAAAAGGATTTTAAGTATAATAATATTACCCCAGAATAATATTCTGGATATTAGTTGGGAATTAAATTCTCAATCATAGGACATTTTTCATTAATTAACTAAAGCATAATTAGTTGACATGTGGCTCAATTGCATGGATCCATTCTCAGCACATCTAAAGATAGTACTCTCCCAAAGGTACTGGTCAGGTGGTAGATTCTGAAATAACAACCAATAACATTTGAGGGGTTTATACTGACCTTTTCCAGCCACGGGCACTAAATAGAAGGTATACAAATAGACCCAGGCTGCTCCCCTACCCCCCGTCTTCCTTCTAGGAACATAATGGAGTTTTTGTGCTTTTAGAAATGGTGGTGGTTGGGGGGTTGTTATTCTATAGAGATTTTATGCTTTTAAAAATTTCTAAATTCATTTTTTCTCTGAGTCGATAATACTTTTTATTTTTCCTGGTTTTTCATATTATTCTCTAAGGTAGGTAGTGAGAAGTGAAATAAATCAACAGAGGTAGAAATAACCTGAAAAAAAAAAATCTATCTGTGGATGAAGAGTGGCCACTCTTTGATTCTAAACCTTTTGTGGTATGCTCATTAATAACAAAACAAACAGAAAGTAATATAAAAACAAAGCAAGCAAGGAGATTAAAAACAAACCTATCCTTCTGAGAATGAACATGAAAACTATTATATTGTAGTTTTCTTTTCTTTTTTAAAAAAATTCTTTATTGTTGAAAGTATTACATATGTCCCCTTTTTCCCCCATTGCCCTCTCCCAGCCTGCCCCAACCCCCAACCCCCACCTTCACCACTCCAGAAGAGCACTTGTGTGCTTTATTTATAAATGCTCTAGGCCATGATATGGAGCAGATTAAAGAGAATGGAAAAAAAGGCACAAAACTATTTTAGCTACTTGGCAACTTCAGAGAGCTCCATCTTCAAATCCAGCAAGTCCATTATTGTTTAAATGGTTGGGCTGTTACAGTGTACTTGCCAAGCTTGCTGCCAATCAGATACCACTACCATCACTTTCTTTTCATGTAGATGAGAGATTTAGGAATTGCAGTTTGGGGATTTTACGTGACAATTAGAATTCTCTTCTTGCTAGGATTAAGCTTGCCTTAAAAGATATTGTCTTCATAGTGTGGTGAAGGCCTGGGAGGGGTGGGGACGGGGCCAATGGAAAAATAAAATACACAAAGGGGACATTCGTAATACTTTCAACAATAAAGATAAATTTAAAAATATATATATTGCCTTCTTTAGAGATCTCAGTTTCTATAACTTTAGCATGATGGCCATGTACAAAATCATCACTCACCTTAAGTTTTCTACAATTCCAGATCTGTGAATGAGATGATTAGGGTCCTTTGTATTGTAGATGGTTTTAACATAATTTTCATCCAAAAGTGCCCTCTGAACCAAAAATTGATAAAGAAAATAATATATTATTAGAGATTCATTAACAGATAGTCACTTTTCTGAAAAAATAATTTTTTAAGTTTGTCTGGTTTTATTCCAAAGAGCATTTTGAAAGCCATCTGTTGGACAAAAATTGACAAAGGTAAAAATGATTTGATAAAGTAATCTTAGTGAATAATAACCATCTTATATAATCTTGCTTGCTAATACCAGTGGTCATTAAAAGAGAAAAAATAAGTTATTTGTTGTTAATAAAAGATGTTCATTCACTATAGGATTGAAATATGATGAGTTGTTTAGCAATGGAATTATATTTAAAATTATTATTCTCCCTTTGTACTTAGATCTTACTCTGGAATTAAAGGACTCCAGTTGAAGGTTAACCTCCAGCCCAATGATAATTACTTTTTCTACGTGAGAGCCATCAATATGTTTGGAACAAGTGAACAGAGTGAAGCTGCCCTCATTTCCACCAGAGGTACTTTCTCCTTTGCACACAGTGGCATATTTCCAAGCATTCTCATACCTTCCCTTCCACCACCCAGAGGAGACATCCTTGAAGGCAACTTCTTAAAGACCCCAACCTGCTGGCAGGGCAAGGTTTTTGGCATGAGAACCCAAGATTGATCAAGGGTCGAAATGTTTCTTTTATTTTTCTGGTTCAGAGGGTCTCAACCTTGGCTAGCAATTAGCAGTCTCTCGGGGTGCTTAAAAAATACTGATGCATAAGCCCCACTCCTGGAGATCCTGATCTGGTTATTTGAAGACAGGCTCTGACGTGTGGGTTTAATCTCCCCAGATGATTCTTGTTTGCCTCACAGCGTGTTACAGTTTGTGGGTATGTTTTGAGTGTGTGGGATGGGGATAGTCTTATTTTATTGCATTGTGAACTCTATGAACAAGCTTCCAGCCGTATTCCTCTGTTTGTTTGTTTGTGCCTACCATGTTGGTTGTGCCAATTAATGTTTGTTGAGTGAATGAATAACTCAAGGAGGTGATAAAACTGTTCAATGACATTTTGTAGAAAATACCCAAATGATGTCAACAGAAATGTTTGTCTGTCCTCAATCATTGTGAAAAGAACTGAGGAATGGAAAGGCAGTCATTTTATTATTTTATTCTAGACCCAAGATGGCACAAGATTGAGTGTGGCACATTAAGTGATATGCTTAGTCAGCAAAAACTTGCATATATGCCTCATTTGTGATGTAAATATATTTATAAATATCTGCCTAATATTTATAAAGAGAAGACACGAGGGCTGCCTGCCCAGAAATTAAATTCCCTATCGTCCCAATAAGGTGCCTATACCTTTCACTCTTAGAACCACTCCTTTAGGTTACACCAGTGCGTTTTCAAACTTTAATGTGGACACATCTCTCATGAGGATCTTGTTACAATGCAGATTCTGATTCAGTAGGTCTGGGGTGAGGCCTAGGATTCTGCATTTCTAACTCATTTCCAGGGGATGAAGATGCAAGGAGCACACTTTGCATAGCACAGCAAGTTCTAGCACAGGAAGCACACTAGTAGAAGTAGCCAGCCACTGGCATCCACTAATGCCTTATGAAATTTCACTGTGCGCCCAAAGACACTGGGGTATTTTGATATCTGGAAAAAGGGAGACCAAGGTCTGAAATAAGGGACTTGGCCTAGAGACTGCACTTGACATTGTGGCAATGTTATACTAGTAATCATATTTTCTTAACTGCAATAGGAACCCGATTTCGCTTGTTGAGAGAAACAGCTCATCCTGCTCTGCAAATTTCCTCAAATGGGACAGTGATCAGCTTCGCTGAGAGAAGACGGCTGACAGAGTAAGTAGAAGAAGTACAAGATGCCTCTGCATTAGAGTGTTCTGAGGGTGTGTCACTTCGTTGTGCATATTTTTGGTTTCATGAATATGCCTGGGTGTGTGTGGTATCGAATAGAAATGTGTGCACACCCATACAGTGTGGTTATGGTTCATTACTAGAGGGAAGGTGACAGAGAGAGTTCATAACTTAGAGCAAGTGTCAATATTTTTGTTGGAAATATAAGCACAGATGGTTTGTTTAAAACATAGGCTGTTTTATGGAATTACCTCTGGTTTAGTGAAAAAGAATCCAGGTTAATTCTTCTATTATTTTCAATAGCAAGCCAGATTTTACATCCATCCACTTGGAAAGGAATAGAGGAGAATGACATTTTGTTGAGTTTCTAGCTCTGGTTACATGCAGGACTTTTCAGACTTTCTTGCCCCCCCCCCCCCAACACCCGTATCACCCACAAAAAGAAGCATCAAAGTAACGAAGTGCCAAAAGCCGAGGGCACAATTGGGAGACTGCTCTGCAATTTGTCTGCAATCTTTCATGGTTATTTTAAGGTCAAAATGGTCAATGGAAAAATATACATGTAAGGCTTTTGAGAACTGTAACCCTTGTGAAACATAGGCTGCTGTCCGCGCTGGTGTGGGCTGTCAGCAAGCACTCACAATAAAGCACTGAGTTGACCAACAGGGACTTACACTGCTTTCCTATCAGGTTGCTATTCACCATATCTCTGGCCCAGCTCAGGTGTTACCTGCTCCTGGAAATGCCCACGCTTTCTCTTGGCCCTGGCACCCTTTGATTTGACCCATGAAAGGGTCTGAACATGTGTGGAGTCGCTTGTCAGCTACTTGATCTTGACTAATCCTCAAGCAGCTGCCTTATATTCTGCATCTTTGAATCCCCAGAATCTAGCACGGCGCCCAGAAACACAAGAGATGCTAAATACATACAAATGAGTGAACTCAAAAAATAAAATATTTTAAGAATAGATTGGGCTTTTCTGTCTTTTTTTTTTGTATAGTTTCTCAAAAAATAAAAAATAAAAGAAATAAGCTGGTTGGTAAGAGTTCATACATAATAACTGCTGATAACTGTAATACATTTTATAGAATTTTACTTATTTATTATTAATCTAAAAATGATCTCATAGTTATCAGGCAGGCAAGCTTGCTCCAGAGAGCACCTCTCTGAAATGAAGTTGGATAAAGACATGAGAAAGTGAAACACATTCCCTTGTATTAATCATGTTCTCATCTATGAAAGGGGAGCATTTTCTCATCTATTAAAGGGGAGCGGGAGAGGTGCTGACTTAACGCTGCTTAAATTAAAAATGCTTCCTTGCTGTCTCAGCCATTTTAAAGCAGAATTGAGCAATTCATGCAAACAAGGTTACCAAAAGTGCTCTGGTTCATTTCCCTTGCCTCTTATAAAAATAGCTAAGGTGAAACAAGAAGAGACCTTTCAACAACCTCTCAGGCACACCTACTACAAATCCAAAAAGGCCAGAGTCTCAATTTCCATACTCCGTTCTGCTCTGGCCTCACCAGCCGTCTTGCTGTTCAAGATCAGCACCTCATTGGTCTCTGTGCCCAGTTAAGTCAGTAGACACTGGAACTCATTGTTAAAAAAAGGTTTTGGAAACTTTTTTTGCAAGTTTTGTAAGAAAAATTTGCAAGTAATGCTCTCTTGGAACATCCTGCCTGCCTCCCTTGTATAGTCTCAATTTCTTTAAAAGCAGATTGTGCCATTTCTTTTTGTCCTGCATTATTCTAGTTATTGTTTGGTTCCCAGCTTCTTGCAGAGGTAAAATGTATAGTACATGCAAGTTGTATGTGGCAGTGGAATACGTCAAATGCATATTGAGAGTTTAGGCCGCAGTGGTCGGCAAACTGCGGCTCGGCAAACTGCGGCTCGCGAGCCACATGCGGCTCTTTGGCCCCTTCAGTGTGGCTCTTCCACAAAATACCGACTTCTGCTCACGGGCCACGAAGTTTCAATCGCACTGTACATGCGCGCCCGCACGTGGTATTTTGTGGAAGAGCCACATTCAAGGGGCCAAAGAGCCGCATGTGGCTCTCGAGCCGCGGTTTGCCGACCACGGGTAGGGAATTCTGTGGCAATCAGGTCAAGGTTGGGGGCACAATGAACAATGGAAGTCTAGTCAAATTCCAGCAGTTCCCAAGGATAGAGTCCTGCTTAAACTGGGTGTGAATGTGTGAATGTTGATGTCTATGAGATGAAGGCTGGCAAATCCTAATCAACTTTGCCTACAGAATCCCATCAGTGCTGGGTGAGGAGCTGCCTGCCTGTGGCCAGCATTACTGGGAAACCACAGTCACAGACTGCCCAGCTTATCGACTTGGCATCTGCTCCAGCTCGGCTGTGCAGGCCGGTGCACTGGGACAAGGGGAGACCTCATGGTACATGCACTGCTCTGAGCCACAGAGGTAAGCTGCAGCCCAGCCCCTCCCCTCTTCATCAAAATGTCATGAATTGCTTTCTAGTTAGAGAACTCTGAGGGCCTAATAATGCCATCCCAGTCCCCTTCCCAAGTTCTGAACCAACTAAGAAAGAAAACAAGAGAGTCAAGTATATGGAGATTAAACTATTATTCTTATTACTGAGGAAGCCAATTTTAGAGAATGTAGTTCATACCTGAGAGACAGACACATCCACTCATAGCCTTGGCCAAGCCAGCTTCCTCGCCCTGCAAGGAAGAGTTGGTCCCTGGAGAAGCAGAGAAGGATGTGTGTCTCCCAGGAAAGCTCCTAATTAAGAGACAGGGAATAGGAAGCGACTATTGCGCCAGCCATGCATGGACAGTTTTTCTTCCTAAACTCACCCCAGGGTAGGGAGAATCCACAGGGCAAAGCTAAAAGGCTCCCTCCACAGAGAGGAGTCAACAGGAGTGAGAAAGAAGTGGATCCCCAATACCCTTCCCACATGGTCTATATCAAGCATTAGCAAACTATAGCCCACAGCCCAAATATGACCCGCTGTTTATGTGAATAAACTTTTATTGGCACACAGTCATGCTCATTGTTTACATATTGTCTGTGGCTGCTTTTGTGCTACAATGGCAGAGTTAGTCGCAACAGAGACTGAATAGCCCCTGAAGATATTTACTCTCTGGCCCACTACAGAAAAAGTTTGCTGACCCCTGGTCTAGATTATTAGTATTGTTTAGATGGTTAAAGTGAAAAAGCCATTAACCAGTGTTCATCTCAGAGAGTTAAGGGCAGCCATGTTATGATCCGAATATGCTCACAGGATGGTCTAATAAAGGAGCAATGGACTGGGAACCAGAGACTGATTTTAGTCCTGGTTCTGTCCTCCTATTGGCTACTTACCAGAAGTTGCTTAACCCTCTGAGCATATGCCTCATGTGTATTGCCAGGGGACAACAATGCCTGGTCTGCTACTTTTTGGGGTTGTGAGGATCACATGAAATCAGGTACAGGGAAGAGCTTTGAAATTGCAAATTATCATACAATGTGGGATATTATTCAAATGTAGTGCTTTAAAAAGAAAGCCTTCAGTGCTTGCAAGTTTCCAGAGAAAGGCCCACAGATTGGGATTTTGCACATTTCTCCCTGCGTCCTACTTGATAGTTTGATTCTCTGACATGGTTCATAAGGACACCATCTCCAAGAGCTATTTAAAGTTACAGTTCACCAAGTCAGGGCAATTATGATTAATTGATATTCAGCATCGTGCAATGCTTAAGGACCTAGCCCCTTCCCAGAGTTAAACATCACTCAAACCTGGAGTTTATAATCAGATTTAGAACTGAAACTAGATATTGATTTTACGAAAAGTCCCTTTGACTAGCCTCTAATAACAAATTTCTAGACTCTAGAAAACAGAATTGTATTATGTTCCAAGGAGGAACAGGCAGTAACTGGACAAGGAGTCATGCCCCCAGCAGACAGGCTTGGTTTTAGGCCAGAGTTCAAGTTGAAGAAGAAACTGATGTGCTTAGGAAGAAATGGAGACACAAGTGGGTCAGGGCATATTCCAGGCCCTGTAGAACTGGTGGAGCCAAGTCTTCAAGGAATGTCTTTACATCCTTGGCCTCCATGGTGGGGAGGGACTGACCTGGACTGGACACCAGGGACCTTCCATTCAAGGGTAGGGATATGGCTTATTTGGGCATTCAGAACCTTTTAGACCAGTGCTGTGCAATAGAACATTCTGCAAAAATAGAAAAATAGTGTCACATGTGGCTACTGAACACTTGAAATATGGTTAGTAGGACTTGGAATTTTATTTAATTTTAATTAATTTTAAGTGGCCACATGTGGCTAGTGGTAACTGTATTGAACAGGGCAGGTCTAGTTCCTGGCTCCTGGCTTACTGATCCACGAAATATCCTCAAAGTCATTCACATGTCCCCTCCAAACCTGTCAGGCCAATAGTAATGTTTTCCATGACATACAGGCATATTCTGCCACCTCATCATTGCTTCTGCTGCCCCCACTGCTTGGATCTTCTCCCTCTTTTCCACCTATCCAGCCTGACCATTTTTTTTTTTTTTGGCTGAGTATGAGTCCTTATGCTCCCCAAGCCTTCTGTAAGAGCCCCAGCCTACACTGCTGGTCCCCATCATTGGCGCTTGCAACCCTTTTCTGCTCTATGTTTCTTTATCATCATAAAGTCTTGCTTATCTTCCCATTCCCATGAACCTTTGCCCTTTCACATGAGCTTTATTCTGCAATGAAGTTGCCAACTTGCCATTCCCTAAGTATACCTGCACTCAAGCTTCTGGGCCTTTAAGAGACATCACAAGATTTTAAAGGTCCTTAGCCTTTTCTGCCATACCCATATCAGAGTCACTTACCCGGATTCTGGGGGCTGAGTCTGCCCTGGTGTTGCTCCCACCCCTCAGACCTACCATATCCACAGAACTATTCCTCTTCTCTCTTCTTCCTGTCCATCTCTTACTTCTTCCTTTCCCCTACTTTCAGGTCTCCACCTTCCATTTCTAAGACCAGTAGGCAAAACCTTCAAATTTGTGTTACCTTTTTTTGCACAGAGGAATTTAGCTTCTTCTGTTCAGCAATTTCTCCTTCCCAACCTGGCCTTGAACCTTTCCTCTCACAGCAAAAAAAGGTCCATTAGATGTGTTTAGTAAACACTTTACAGTCTGTCCTCTGAGCTGGAGTCTCAGCTCTAGCCAGTGTTTAAGTCATCATCATTTTTTCCTTCCTGTTCAGTAGAGTATGGGATCCTGGTGGTCAAGGACAGTGTGCCCAGTGCTGGGCACACAGATATGCCCAAGTGAATACTTATTGAATTAAATTTATTTCAATTGAAAAGATAAACCAAAGGCATTCCCTTTAGCTGCAAGACCACAAAATCATTGCTAAGTCAAAAAAGAAAGTTGGTTTGGAATGACGGGAGCTTATACAAAGGCTAAAGCTGGGCAAAAATAATAAAATATTTCTTAAACTTCATAAAGGCCCTTATGTAAGTTATTATAAATCCTTAAACTGTAAAATTAATACATTTTATGGAAGGCAAGCCGGAAGTACTTTTAAAAATACATGTCAGCCTCAAAGGAGTTTTATTCAAAAGAATGACACACCGTGAATGTGGTAGTTAAAACATGTGGGCAGCTGGGAGAGAATTAGAATGTTGAGAAAAATCACAAGGGAGGCACATGTTGGTTATTCTGGGACTGCTTCCTAATGTAGAAGGAACAAAATTATTAAAAATGCTCATCTGTTGGGATGAGCTATGCATTTTAGCATCTAGGAGGGATCTGTTTAAAATACTTGGGACAATGTTATTGCAACTCATTGTTGTGAATTGAGGTTAATAACTGAAACATTGGTGACCTCCAAGTGATTTTCTTTATCTTGGTCCATCAGGATTTCTGAAGTTTTTAATTTTCCATCCCGTTTCATTTCAGATACACATTTTTCTATAGTGGCATTGTGAGCGACGTCCATGTGACTGAGCGTCCTGCCAGGGTGGGCATTCTGCTGGACTACAACCACCAGCGGCTTCTATTCATAAACGCCGAAAGTGGACAGTTGCTCTTCATCATTAGGCACAGGTTTAATGAGGGTGTGCACCCTGCCTTTGCCCTGGAGAAACCTGGAAAATGTACTTTGCACCTGGGGATAGAGCCGCCGGATTCTGCGAGGCACAAGTGATCACTGGCTTTCAGACTTTGAAAGAACAAGAATTCAAACTCTGTTGGGGGCCCATTGCTTTCCCGTGGGTGCTATCCATTATTCAAAGTGTCTCCCACACATTTGCACTAATGATAGCTACATGCACAGGGATCATCACGTGAGCAAAACCACCAAGAAAACCCGAGTTCTTCCCTGCTTTGAAAGGATTTGTACCTGACCTGGGAACCAAAGCAGAGAAGTGGACTTCCACCTGTCTTACTGATAAAAGAAATCCTCGGAAGACTGTGCTGGTAATCCCTCTCCTCCGACAAGAAACACGGACTTTTTTCACAAGAGAAATGACGCCTCACTTCACTAAAGGATGATAAATCCTACTCACGAGAGAAAGGGTTTTAACCCTTCCTAGTTGATGATGAACTCTTTTGTAATAATATATGCTGTAGAACATGGGTCTCTTTTCCCTGAAATTTTAAATGTAGAAAAATGCTGAATATTAGAAATTTCCATTTTGTTAAATAAATGGTTAGAGTCTATAAAACGAAACAGGTTATGTGAGTTTATTGTCAGTAACTTACCAGCTGGCCTCTCAGGACCGGGACAAACTGCAGGGTAAATAGCCATCACACTTTAGTGCAGTGGTTCTCAACCTGTGGGTCGCGACCCCTTTGGGGGTCGAATGACCCTTTCACATGGGTTGCCTAAGACCGTTGGAAAAACACATATATAATTACATATTGTTTTTGTGATTAATCACTATGCTTTAATTATGTTCAATTTGTAACAATGAAATTGGGGGTCACCACAACATGAGGAACTGTATTAAAGGGTCGCGGCATTAGGAAGGTTGAGAACCACTGCTTTAATGGGTCATACTACTACTAATTTTCACGTGAGAATTTTACACATGTGGTATGTTTTAAAACCTAAACACTTTCAGCTCAGTGTTACAGTCAACTATCCGAAGCCAGGAATCTCCTTTTACTAGAAAAAAGTGCTAGGTCATTTTTAGATATTATATTGAAATCTCTCAAAATCTTCCTAAAATGTGTGCAAAGTTGTGCTACTGGGGTATTGGGATTCCACAGAGGTGCCTAAGGGCCCATGTGGGATCCAATGGGAAAGCTAGGTGGGCATAAATTCAGATCCATTTTACACATTGGGTTCTTCATAATAATTATTTAAAAAAATATATATTTTATTGACTTTTTTACAGAGAGGAAGAAAGAGGGATAGAGAGTTAGAAACATCGATGAGAGAGAAACATCGATCAGCTGCCTACTGCACACTCCCTATTGGGGATGTGCCCGCAACCAAGGTACATGCCCTTGACCGGAATCGAACCTGGGACCCTTGAGTCCGCAGGCTGACGCTCCGTCCACTGAGCCAAACCGGTTAGGGCCATAATAATTAATTTGCTCAAAATGTTTCTATGGTTAAATAAAGTTAGAAAACTAGATAACCACTGAGGTTCAAATCTGGATTCTGTGATGCCAGGTAACCCCAAAGTCCATAAATCCTTCATTATTTCAGAGTCCCTTTTCCTTTAATATCCAAATACTAATTGCAAAAAAAAAAAAAAAGTGGTGTGTTTTTTTTTTAGCCCAAATTTCCAAGAATTTCTGTAGATGGTTACATTCTCCTGGTTAACATCTCTGACATCCTGCTTCTGAGTTCTCCTCCATCACCTCTGGCTACCTCACCACTACTTACCTCTTCATGCTTCCCTAGGCCCATTTGGTCTCCATCATCCCAAAACACAAACAATGCTCCTTTGATTTCTTAAGGCAGTGCTAACACAAGGCTGAAAATCTGAGGTTAATGAGGGAAATTTCTTCATACAACCTGAAACAAAATAAAGCTGAATGTGAAATATCCACCATTGCCGGGAGTCCCTTCTGATCTTTTCTTCAGCCTGGTCTTCCTGCCACATTGAATAGACTAACCTCTCTGTTCTCCTTTATTCTGTAAGTTTCTGGCATCTCTTCATTTTTTCAAAACCAGGCAGGGGAACTAGAAAACATCAACATATAAAAATCTCTCTTACCAATACAGACTTCTTTCATAATAGCAGGAGAGCATTCTATCTCTGCTTCTTCCAGCCTGCCCAGGCTTAGACTTCTCTTTGTGGAATTAAAAGACCTATTAAATCAATTCCTCTCCCTTTAGAATGGCCTTAGAATCCCACTAGTGTCTCCCCTTTGGTGGGTTTCTGTAGAACCAGCTCATTTCTCAACCAACCTAGAGCCCCCAGACTTTGTGCTGGGCTGCCCAGACTTCCTGTTGGACTTTACTGTGTGCCAGGCACTTCTACTGGAGTCAGCATGTTGTTTGAGGATTTTATAACTTCTGAAAGAGGGGGTAAAATAAGTAGGAAAAAGAAAAATGGGGAAGAAGAAACACAATTCATTTATTCAATACATATTTATTGAGTACTTACTATGGGCTGGGCACTATTCTAGGCCCTGGGGAAATGGCAGTCATCAAATCAGACAAAACCCCTGCTTTCAAAGAGCTTATATTCTGGTGGAAGAAGACAGACAATAAACACATATATAATATGTAAGTGGGGAGTAAGAACTAGGAAGGAAAATAAATGAGGGTAAGACAATAAGGAATAATAGGAGGTAGGGGCTGCTATATATTTTAGGTCTGATGGAAAGTAGCTCTGATAAGGTGATATTTGAATAAAGACCTAAATGAGATGAGGGAGCAGGCCATGTGGATATCTGTGGGGAAAGAGTATTCCATGCGGAAGGGACAGCAAGTGTAGAGGTCCCGAGGCAGCAGCATGGGGGTGGGTTAAAGGACCAGTGAGGAGGTAGCAGGGCTGGAGTGAAATAAACAGGAGGGAGAGAATGCTATGAAAATAGAGAGTAGCTGGGGATCAGTTCACATGGCCTTGAAGGCTAAGTAAGGACTTTAGGATATATTCTGGGTGAGTTAACAAGAAGTAACAGGAATAAAGAGTAAATTCAAAGGCAGTCTCAAAGAAATGGCTCTTCATGTGTTTGGTATTATGTTTTTCAACATTAAACAGGATGTTCCATAAAGCCCCCCTGGGTTGGGCTGTACCAGCTCTTAGCTTCTGCAGAGAAAGGACCTAGTGTAGGTGGGAGAGAAGAAAAGTCATTCTTTGTTTCCTTCTCAGCTCTGTAACTCTGCTCAATTCCTGCTCCAAGGGAACAGCCCCTGCTGACTCCCCATAATGGCCAACCTCATGCAGAATGTGGGAGGAAACCGCTCTTATAGCTGGACCGACTCTGTGCTGAACTGTGCCTGCTTGCCTTTGATGAAAAGTTGGCCACCACCAAAGATGGTGAAATATCATACATTTTCAATGGCATGATTTTGCTGTTGCAGGGAAGATGAGATATTGATGTCATCCAGGAAGGCTGGCTGGCCAAACAGGGCCTCGTAGATGTGTATATATTGTGTGTGTGAGTGTGTGCATCTGTATGTTGTGTATATTTCATATGTGTGACTATATGGGTTTGTGAGTGTGTGTGTCTTGGGGGTTGGAGGAAGTAGAATTATCATTACAATTCAGAGCTAGTTTTCCCATTGAAGATCTAGAAACTGGAACATCAGAGCTCCCAAATGTTGTCAGGTCCACAGGGACTCAGCCACATTAATCAAGCCCACAAAAATCTCGGTAATAGTTTAGTATGACAATTGCTTAATTTATAGTGAAAAATGAAATTGCCAAAGGGGCTGGAGAACACATATCTGTAGTCAGAGGATACTCTCTCTAGGCCCCAGAGCTCCAACACCTGCAGGTACCCACCATGGTCCACCTTGGGCTGCACACACGACCTGTGGCTGTTTGCCTCTTAAATCCCACATGCTCAGGTGAATTGACATATTGTCACACAGGAAGTCTCATGACAGTCAAAAGATTGGTGATCAAGGCAAGTTATGTGGATGCTCTCACTGACCAGCATTATTAAGCTGCCCTGGTCAGCCATGGGCCCAAATATTTGGGTTTGCTGCTCTAAGTACTTTCTCCTTAATCAGAGCTGGGCTTCCCAGAGAAATCCTTGTCCTTTGTGGATTCTTATCTGTGCAGCCCAGCTTCTTGTATTCACATTTTTAAAAATGCTTTAAGACTACTTCTTAGGCTATAGTTTTCTTCTTCATTGAGTGAATACTTGATTAGATGTCTAGGCCCTGTGCCTCCTACTTGTCTTTGTAGTTGTTAATCCTCACCCGAGGATACTTTTCTATTGAGTTTTAGAGAGAGTAGAAGGGAGGGGGAGAGACAGAGAGAGAAATATCGGTTGGTTGCCTCCCACACATGCCCTGACCAGGACCAGGGATTGAGCCTGCAACCGGAGGTACGTGCCCTTGACCGGAATCAAACCCAGGACCCTTCATTCCGTGGGCTGAAGCTCTACACACTGAGCCAAACTGGCTAGAGCTGTTCCTCCTACTTTTTATCTGAAAATATCATACCTGCTATGATGACTATTGCGGATGATAGAACATAATCTATTATGTGATCATCTTACTAATTTAATAAAAGCAAGCCATTCCTTATGTGACATCTCACTATCTCCTCTATGGATTGACTGCATGTGGGAGGAGGAGGACACTCATTCAAGGATTTGTTGTGATTGATGAGAGTGATTCAGAACACAGATCCTGTAATCATGTGGATCTGGGTTGAAATATGGCTCTGCTCCTTCATAGCTGTGTGACTGGGCAAATTGCTTAGCCTCTTTTAGAGTCCTAATTGTAAGGTAGGAATAATGCTAGTCATTATGTTGTAAGGTTGTTCATTTGTTCGTTCATTCATTCACTCATCCATTCGAGTCCTAATAAGTTGCCAAGCACTGCTGTAGGTACTAGGAGTCCAGCAGTGATTAAAACAAACATCACTGCCTCAGGAAGTTCACATTCTAGTGAGAGGAACAACATGCAGTAAAGGAGATAAATATGTAAATAGTTTAGTAGCAGAAAGTGATATGTACTATAAAGGAAAATAAAGCAGAAAGGGGTTGTTCTAACACATAAATGAAAGAATTAAAAAATGTAAAGTTCTTGCCCTAACCGGTTTGGCTCAGTGGATAGAGCGTCAGCCTGCGGACTCAAGGGTCCTGGGTTCAATTTGGGTCAAGGGCATGTACCTTGGTTGCGGGCACATCCCCAGTTGGGGGTGTGCAGGAGGCAGCTGATCGATGTTTCTCTCTCATCGATGTTTCTGACTCTCTCTCTCTTCCTCTCTGTAAAAAAATCAGTAAAATATATTTTTTTAAAATGTAAAGTTCTTAACAGAGTGACATATAATGATAGCAAACATGTTAGCTGTTATTAATTCAGCTATAATGCAGGGACTGGTTACAATGAAAGAGCTTAGTGTAGCCCTCAGAATACCACAGTGTTCTCACACAAGCATTTAGTTATCCATGACCACTGTAATTCCAATGAAAGTTTAATATTTTCCTGTTTTTATTCATTACAAACATTCAAGAAAAGTAGTTAGAAGAAAAAAAAAATGATCCTTAATTTCACCACTCAGAGACAAGCAATGTTAATTAA